CCAGCAGCCACTGACTTCCTGCAAGATGGAGTTGTCAGACTGCTTCCACCCGCCCGCTGCCAGTAGTATGCCTCCCGCCCAAGCCCGCCAGGGACAGAATGGGAGGGGCGGGCGGGGAAGCTGGCATGCTTGCCTGTGCTCTGCCCTCTGCCCCTCCGGGAGGCATGACTGTGACCGTGGGATGTCCCCGTGGCCGACCCCTAAGCTCCCACCCTCTGGACGGAGGAGAGTGAGGGGGAAAAAGGAGTTCAGGAGTCTTGTCTCCCCTCCATCTTCCCGCCTAGGTCAGGCCAGGATCTGCCTCTCTTCTCCCTGTCCCTGTTCCCCGTTCCTCTAAAGGAGTGACTGGAGAAACTGTCCGTCTGTGTTTGTGATTGTGATTAACATCGCAAAAACCTTCAAAGAATCTCAGATCGGTTAGAAGCCCGTTGGGTTTCACTTCTCAGGCGTGAGGGGTTGTTATCTCCCCCGCCCTCTCTCTTGATTTTTTTTTTTTACAAATTGTTAGGGAAATGGTGACATACAGAACGGTTAAAGTATGCCAGTCCGCACCGGTGGCTCGCGTCTGTAATCCTAGCTGCTCAGGAGGCTGAGAGCTGAGGATCACGGTTCAAAGCCAGCCAGGGCAGGAAAGTCACCAGACTCTTATCTCCAATAAGGCACTGGAAAATCGGAAGTGGCGCTGTGGCTCAAGCGGTAGAGCGCTCGCTTTGAGCTGAAGAGTTTAGGGACAGCACCCAGGCCCAGAGTTTAAGAAACACCACCGACCCCCCCCCCCCCAAAAAAAAAAAAAGGATAGGAAAGATTACATTACATAAGTGGGGTAGGAAGAGTACATTTTTTTTTAATTAATAAGTTTTGTTTTTGTTTTTGTTTTTGTTTTTTTTTTCTCGTGGGGCTTGAACTCTGGGCTTGGGCGCTATCCTGCCCGGGCTGGCTTTGAACCGCGATCCTCAGATCTCAGCCTCCTGAGTAGCTAGGATTACAGGCGTGAGCCACCGGCGCCCGGCTAATGAGTTGTTTTAATTGTGAAAATACTTACAGAGTGGTTACAATGACAGGAGCAAGAGCAAGGAAATGAGTACATTTCTTATCAAGCATTGCTGCCTCCTCCTTTGTTTCCATTCCTGCCCTCCCATTTCCCCCCACACCCAAAAAAAGAGTACATTTTTTTTGGACAATGTCACCCCTTCCCTGGCTCTCTCACAGATTTTCCCTCCCTCAAGTTCTGTTTGTTCCCCAGCCACAGGTTGTGTGTCAACATAGTGTCTAGTGAGTGCCACTGTTGCACTTCTTCATCCTGGGTCCCTCCATTTCTTGCCCCTCCCGGAAATAGATGAAGGAAGAAACAATGGGGGGGGGGAAGAGAAAACAAAATAACGTCGATGATAACAAACACAAAGAAAGGGGAAGACTTCTTATATGATCAGAGGTATATAGGCATTGCACTTTGGTGAGCCTCATGTCTTCAATTAAGCAACCCAAAGGCCAGAAGTGGAGTTTTGGCTCAAATGGCAGACTGCCAGTCTCTCTGTTTTTTTTTTTTGGCACGGGGTAGGGGGTGTCCGGTCGTGGGCCTGAACTCTGGGCCTGGGCGCTGTCCCTCAGCTCTTCAGGTTAAGGCTAGCACTCTACCACTTGAGCCACAATGCCACTTCCGGCTTTTTTCTGCTTATGTGGTGCTGAGGAATCGAATCCGGGGCCTCATGCACGCAAGGCAAGCGCTCTACCACTGAGCCACCTTGCCAGCCCCAGAGTGCCAGTCTTGAGCACAAGAGCCACGGGACAGCACTCAGGCTCTGAGTTCAATCCCAGGATTGGGGCGTGCACACACACACCCTGCACCCCTTGATCTTTGCTGCTGTTTCCTACCACACAGACACAGGCACGCATGGCAGCATGTGATCTACCTCTTCCCCTCCCCCCCCACACACTTTGCACTGCCACCACCGCCGCCGCCGCCGCCGCCGCCGCCGCCACCAACTATAGCAACAGACTTCCTAGGCTTCCCCTCCGCGCCCGCCACCCTCCCCCCCCCCCCCCCGGCCCCTAGTTTAGATCGATGAACCAAAGTGTCCCCACTGCACGTTCGGCTCTGGCAAATATCAGATAGGATTACAGTGATGAGGAGAGAGGCGAGACCCGCCATGGATTGACTGTAGATCCCAGAGGACAGAATGCCAGCCCAGGCCCATTCATGGGTCAAGCCAGGAAAATGTTTTTTGGTTTTGTTTTTGTTTTTCATCTGCGGTCTCTCTCCACACCCGGTGTGCTTTGTCTGTCTGTCTCTCTGTGCGATAGGGGTTTGCCATTCATGACCTGTGTGGGCGGGGATGCTGGGGCGTGTGTGTGTGTGTGTGTGTGTGTGTGTGTGTGTGTGTGTGTGTGTCTGTGTGTGTGTGTGTGCGTGCGTGCGTGTGTGTGTGTGTGTGTGTGTGTGTGTGTGTGTGTGTGTGTGCGCGCGCGCGGGTGAGGGGGAGGTGTTCCTTCCTCACAAGACCTTCCTAAAGTGTCGGTTCGGTCTGGATCGATCTTGGGCCTGACGTTGTTTTTCCTTGTTTCGGGGTGCCACCTACTGGACACCGTGTGGAGTGACAGGGAGTGATTCGGGGCTGATGGCTGATGGCTGGCGACTCTCGCGAGAGTCTCGCAGACTCTCGCGAGAGTCGCGATGAGGTATCGCCGGCTCTCTTCTGCGGCTTTATTTACAACAAAACAAAATGAAACCACAGCAAACAAGGAAATTTTCTTGAAGGGAGGGCCGAGCGGAGGGGGAGGGGGGCCCGCAGGGGGTGTTTCTTTTCGTTATTTTCTGGACACGGAATTCGTTTGGATATTACGTCTTATGAGCAAACTGTACCAGTTTATTTACGGTTGTAATTTATATACAGTAACACAAATGTCTTTATGTCAGTATTATGAAAAAGGGTCCCACGGCTGCAGTGGGTGAAAGATTGAGACGGGAACATTTCTCAAGGAGTGCCAAGAAAATGGAAAACAGGCAATGCAATAGTTCAGGGAGAGTTATAAATATCAAGTGCTGCCCTAGGTGAAATTTCATGCAAATGTCCTCACCCACTCAGGTAAACTTTTTATATAGGTATCAGAATAAAATTTCTTGAACTATATAGACTTTTATTCACTTGATTTCCCTTAAGTAAGTTAAAATAACTGGCTGTTGACAGGGCACATCTGGATATTTCTATCGGTCCCATAGAGATAATCTGTTAAATTTTAGAACACGGTAGATTATATTTGCTATTTCCCCAAATGGACTTTACAAAAGCCATCCGTGGCCCCAAAGATGTATCTGGACCTCTCATCATGTGTGACTAAATAGGCCTCAGTGAATTAAGCTGAGAAAGCTGCAAAACAAAGCAGATCACTTCAGTTATGGAACATGAAGAGAACAAAAGTAGCTTTATGCCACTGGATCTTTAGTGAGAAGATAGAATAAAAAGAAGAAAAAAATATTGGAGGATGCAATATAAACCAATTGAAACGTATCCAACCGATGATCTGGCTTTGAAGTGGCTATTTACTGGTGTGGTCCTAGACCATGGTGTCCAGAAGGATACATCAATGTGTTTTGAAAGATCCTAAACCAAATATACTTGTAATAATGACAGGTACGTTTCTGTCCTCCTAATTCCAGCTTTAATCCTAACACGTCCGGTTGTGATAATACGTTCACAGTCGTGCCACTTAGGGATATCACGTCTTATGTCTTCTCTGCAATATCTTAAATGCTCAGAGAAGTTACACCTTCTGACAAAAGGACGTTATGTGTGTCACCCACACGGGGACACACACACACACTCTGTTTGCCCGGAGTGCTGTGTAGCTTACCATGTCCAGTTATAGTTTAGGTCTAGCATCCACATAGGAGGGAAAACACGTGCCGTGCCGTTGGTCGGTCGGTCGGTCGGTCGGTCTGTCTGTCTGTCTTTCCGCCGGTCTGTCTTCCCCTGGCATCACCTGTTCTAGGTTCTTCTCCGCCGCCGGCAACCCCCCCCCCCCCCCCCCGCCCCTCGCGCTCCTAGTCCGTCGATCTACTTCCCTCTGTCTGACATAATCTTATCCTTATTCTTTGGGGAATGGATGAATAAACTTTTACCTTGTGGATATTGTACACACACCGTAACGTGTGTGTGTGTGTGTGTGTGTGTGTGTTGACGGAATAGAGTGTTTGCCATGCCTGAACCCCTGGCTCTGCCTCTCTACCCGTCTGTGATGCGATGTGTGTGCTGGGGCACTTGTGCCTGCGTATGTTCCCAGTGCGAACTCCAAAGAGAAGTACGCCCGCCGGGCCTGTGGGTTCTAACCATGCTTCACCCCCGGGCGATAGGATCGCCCCTCTGACTGACGCCTCCACTCTGTTTGGGCCGGGGCCCCTCGTCTCTCCCTGTGTTTCCTCCTAGGGTTCCCTACCTGCCCTCCCCCCAGCCCCGCACACACACACACACACACACACACACACACACACACACACACACACACACACACACACACACACTGTGCACCGCCACGCTCGGGTCCAGGTCCTCCACCACAGGCATGTGAGTGATGATGCCTCTACCCTCCGACACCTGTGTGTAGGGTTTAGATTCATCGCCTCATGCCCCGAATCCTGCTCCAGAGAGAGAGTGGCAGAGCCTATTAGAAAAGGCTAGCTGTCTGGACAGGCTAGAGTACGAACCGGTGAGAAGGTCGTTCCGTCCGGTGCGGTGCCCGGGGATAAGCGTCACACGGGTGCCACCTCCCCTTCCTTCTCCACCCAGCCAGCAGCGGCTCTCGTTTGGCTTTCCTGTCATTCGGTGATGGGTGAGTGGACTCACGCTTCCCATTGCACGGTCACCGTGGTTTTCCAGACCTGTGTGCGTGACGTAGCTACTCTCTGTGTGTTAGAAGAAACCTCTCTCTGGCCTTCCCCCTGCCCTTTCCCTGCCTGTGAGGGGTGGCGGGTGGGGGCGGGGGGAGGGAGTGTGTTGTGGGGCGGGCGAGGAGCGGACTTTCACAAGTGAGCGGGGTGCCTCCCGACGGCTCGTCTCTTGCTGGAGCCGACCCATCTTTGGGAGTTTTTTTTTTTTTTTTTTTTTCTCTTTCTGGTTTCCATCTGGGGGAAAAAGAAAACAAAACGTACAAACAACCCCCCCCAACCCCCCCCCCCCCAAAAAAAAAAAAAAGACGGGCAGGCAGACGGTGGGACGAGCGCTCACTTGCCCTTTTCTGGCCATGTTGGGCGGGGGTGGGGGTCTTGCCACGGGCGGCGGAGGTCGTGCGGGTGGCCGGTTCGTTTTCTCTCGTGGTGCGGGCCTGCCGTCTTTGCCGCCCCTTCCTGCTTGGGACCGATCCCAGCTTCCCGGTTCTCGGGTTCGGGCCGCTCCGTTCGGGCGAATCTCGTCCTGGTTCCTGGTTTCACTTTGGTCGCTGGCGGCGGCGGCGGCGGCGGCGGCGGCCCGATCTCGGTCTAGGTCTCTGGTGGCTCTGGTGTCGTTCGTGAGGTCGCAGAGAGGACCCGGCTGCAGGTCCTGACCTAGGTTGTGCCACTCGGTGCGTGGCGGTGGTGAGTGAGGCGATTTGTTTCCGTGTTCTGTGTCTCCGGAGCTCAGAGCCGGCCGGCGCGCGCCGATCCGGGGTACGGCGGCTCGGTGGAGTCGGTCGTTGGAAGGCGGTTGTCGTGCTCCCCCTGGCGTCCGCTTTGATATGACAGTCCCCTCGTTCTCAGCCGAGCGAGCGAGTGGAGGAGGAGGAGGTCTGGCGGCAGCGAGCCGGGCGGAGGCCCGGCCTCTGCCGGGTGCCGGGCGCGACTGTCGCCGTGGTGTCGCTGTGGCGCCGGGGCGGCTGTTCTGTCGGACTTTGCGCCCGCAGGCGAGCGCGGGGTGGGGCCGTGCGTCGCCGCTCTCTCTTCGGTGCCCGGTCTGTGCGGGGGGTGGCAGCTTTGTCGGGTCGACCAGTAGTTCTGTCTGGGCCCGACGCCTTGTCCTCCTCCCCTCCCTGGACTCTGGTCTTTGAGGGCGAAAAAAGGAGAGTACGAGGGACGTCTCGGGAGTCGGGGGAGAGGGTCCCCGGGTGAGCCGATAGGTGGTGGGGCCGGTCCCGGCCCGGACTCGGACCCCCCCCCCCTCCCCGGAGTCACCTCCGAGTGAGCGCTTGGCGCGTGCCGGGCGCGAGGGCCTGGGTCGCCGGCCCCGTGTGGCCTCCCTCCACGGCCTCCTCCACGGCCCCGGAGGCCGGAGGACAGACCTCTCCGGCGGGAGGAGCCGTGGGCACGGCCGAGGCGAGCCTCGGGGCCGGGACCTACGCCCCCCCCATCCCCGACATAGGATGGTCGTCGGAGTCACCTCCGAGTGAGCGCTTGGCGCGTGCCGGGCGCGAGGGCCTGGGTCGCCGGCCCCGTGTGGCCTCCCTCCACGGCCTCCTCCACGGCCCCGGAGGCCGGAGGACAGACCTCTCCGGCGGGAGGAGCCGCGGGCACGGCCGAGGCGAGCCTCGGGGCCGGGACCTACCTACCATCTGCGGGGACTTGCCCGGTGGGCCCTGCGTAGGGGAAAACTCGAGGCGGAGGGAGCACCTCGGGAGTCGGGGACCCGAGCCCGGGAGTCCCGGGTGTGTGCGTGCTGGCGGCAGGGCGCTCACCACCGACCCCACGCGGTGTGGGTGTGGTGGTTGGGTGCCTCTCGGAGTGGGTGCCTCGCGTCTGCCGGGGGAAGGCTCCCCGTACCGCCCGTGCGGTGAGCCCGTGCACACCCGGGGTGTGTGCCTGCGAGGTAGTGGGGCGGGAGCGTCCCTTGACCCCGCTCCCGCCCTGGCTCTTCGTCTGTCTTCGCCTTATGTGGTCGACCAGCTGTCCCTGAGAGTTCCGTGTCTGGCTCTGTTGGGGACGTGTTGGGGACAGGTGTCCCTGATGTGGTTTCCGAGAGGTCCCTGTCGCCAGCGAGTTGTCGCCCCTGCCTGACGACCTGGTTTTGGCGTGGTGACGTGAGGATTTTGTACCTGCAGGAGGGTGCTGGCATGCTGTGTCCCGGTGGCTGTCAGCGGGTCTTTGGGGGCTCTCTCGGATGCTGTGTGCCGGGCCTTTCCCGTCTCTTCCCGGTCCGGGTCCCCCTGTCCTTCCCCTCACACCCTGGGCTCCCGCTGCCCTGGGCAGGCCCTATGTCCCTGTGGTGGCTCGTGGGTGTGGTGGTGGTTGGCGGCTGAGTGAGTCCCGTCGTCCTTGATCTCTCCCCCGCTCCCGGTGCCGGATTCTGGCCCTTGCCTCGGCACGCTGAGGAGGAGAGTGGTTGGTTGCCTGGGGTGTGCATAGGTAGGGCCCGCACGGTGTGCTTCCCTCGCCGTGGCCGGCCTGAAGGAGGAAAAAGGGGGGGGCCGCCGAGTCCTGCCTTGCGTGTGCGGCATCCCCGTTCTGCCGTTGGGCTCGCCCGACCTCCGTGGCTTTTTTTTTTTTTTTTCCTTCCTCCTATCGCCCCTAGCTCCAACTCCCCCGACCTGCCGCTTCCCGATGGCGGGCCTGGTCGGCCGCTGAGCTGCGCTACCTCCCGAGCGCTGTCCGTGGCTTTTTTTCTTTTTCTTTTTCTTTTTTTTTTTTTTCTTTTTTTTCCCTCCCTTTCTAGCTTCTTCGGTCCTGTGCCCGGCAGAGGTGTCCTGGTTATCCCGAGTGCCAGGGACGCTTAAGCCCCGTGGTATTTTTTTCATTTTTTTTTTTCTTTTTCTTTTTACCTCGCTCCTTACTCACGGAAGGGTGTCTGTCCTGGCTACGCTTTTATCCCCAGGCTGTTGGCCCTCTCAGGAGCCGAGCTTCCCTGGGCCACCGCCTCCCGAGTGCCGCGTGGCTGCCTTCTCCCACCCCCTCGGTGTGATTGATGTGGTGACGTTGCGATCTCCTTCGGGCCCGGGCCTAAGCTGCGCCAGGCGAGGGACGGACATTCATGGCGAATGGGACCGCTCTTCTCGTTCTGCCCGTGGGCCCCTGCCCTCACCCGTCCCACCGTGCCGGCGCCGGTGGTGTGCGGGGAGGCGGGGGTGCGGCAACCGGGCCCGGCTGCGCTCTCCCTGCCCTCGCCGTGAGGTCGGGGACTTGTACACGCTGGAGGAGGGGGGCGCCCTGATCTTGCTCCTCTCTTCCCGTGACTCGTTATCGGCACGGGGGTCGGCTCTCTCCGCGGAGAGGGAGGGTCGGTGCTCCGTGCTTGCCCGTGCTGTGTGGTGTGAAAAACCGCGCCTCGCGCTCTGCCCTCTTGCGGTGCTCCCGGAACGCTCCCGGTTGGTTCTCTCAGGTGCCTGTGGCTGAGTGGTGGTGTCGTTCCCGATCCTGGCGTTGTCCGCTGCCTTGTGCCAGCCTGCTGCCCGTGGTGTGTCCCGGCCGTCCTCGGGTTCGTGGGGCTTTTGTGCGAGTGAGAAGTTACCGTTGAGATTGACGTCTCTGCTGGGGGGGGGTCGAGGCGGTTCCCCAGAGGAGCGCTCTTCCCTTGTTGCGCTGGGCGGTGGCTTCCCCGCATGAGCTGCCGCCCTGGTCCTGGCTTGTCTTCCCTGCCGTGTCACCTGGCTTTCATCGCACCGGGGGACCTGAGATGTTGCAGTGGGAGGCGAGCGGGGCCCGTGCGGGCTTCCCGCCCGTGTGCGCGACTTTGCTCTGGCCCCGCACGGCAAGGCCGACCGACCAGGGTTGGTGTTGCTGCTGCCGCAGACCCCCCCCCTGTGCCCCACCCCTCCCTGCCCCCCGTGGTGGGAAGGATGGACGCCTCTGATGTGTGCTGGTTCCCGGCGGGGTTCCCGTCGGGGTTGGGTGCGGGCCACCCTCAGAGTGAGGAGGGGTTCTCTAGCGATCCTCGTTCGGGAAGCGGCGTGCGCTGCTGGGTTGGCGGGGGCCCGCCCCCGATGGGCTCCCGCGGCCCTGCCGCTCCCTGCCCTGCTTTTGAGCGCTAGTGGCTGCCCGCGTCGGTAAACTGCGTGCCCGCGCCTCCCCCCTCCGAGCTGGGGGAGGGTCCCGCGGGACCTCTCCCGGGCCGTCGTCTGGTGTGGTGAGTGGAGGACGTTCCCGATCCGTCCCGCCCCTGCCTCGCGTGCGGTGTGTCGAGTGGCGGAGCCTGGAGCCCGTGCCGGGTCGCGATGCGAGGGCGTGTGGTGTGTGGCTTCCCGGCCTCGTGCTTGGGTTGCCGTGGGGTTTTTGGGGGTCCCGTCCCCCTCCCCCTCCGGCCCCTGGCGACGCTGTTCCCGAGCGTCTGTGTGGGCCGCCGCCCGTTGGCGACGACGGCGCCGTGCGGGCGCTGGGCCCCGCGGTGTTCCGGGGCCGCCGTGCCCGTGGTGGTGCGCCGCTCGGGGGGGTTCTGGCCCCCCGGAGCCGAGGATCCCGGTGTGTGTGGGCCCTTGCTCACGCGGCCGAAAAAGAGGCGGTCGATGATGGGTGCTGTGCCCGGCGGTGTGGTGTGGATGGAGGCGGTGGGGCCCTGCTGGCGCGGGCGGCTCCGCGGGCGTTCACGGGGTCTTTGAGGTGTGTGCGAGAGCTGCCTTTTCCCTCTCGGGCCTCTTTTGGGGGGGCCCGCCGCTGCCGCGGTGGGGGTTTCCGGTCCGCTGGTCGGCCGGCTCGGTGTCCCAGGCGTTGCGCGGGACCGCCCCGGAGTTGGGGGTGGTGAGATCCCGCGTTCGTTTACCTGGCGTGCCGGCTGTGCCCGGAAAGGTCCCACCTCCCCGTTGGTCTGCGGCTGCGCCACCCGCCCGTGTGAGGGGGTGGCCGCTCGCTCACTCGCCTCTCGCCCCGGTGACCCGACCCGGTGACCCTCCCGCTGCTCTTCTTGTTGTGCTTCCGGCGTGCCCTCCTCACCCGCATCAGCCTTCCGCGATCCTCGCCGGTTTGGCCTGGTGGCCGGCCACCGGCGGACGGTCGAGTCGGGCGTTGTGTTGGTGTTCTCTTGGGGGGGGGGACGGCGCTCAGCTCGTGAGGCTGCTCCCCCGGTGTGGGGGAGGCACGTCGTCGCGGCGGCGGTGGCTTTTGAAGGGTCTTCCCGGATCGGTTTTGCTCACGACGAGGGTTCCTGCCAGCGGGACCGCCGGTACGCCACGGGGGCGATGGTGGTGAGATTCCCGCGTGCGTCCCTCGCTCGGGAGTTGGCCGTCCGAGGGGCCCGAAGCCGGCGTCACGACGTGCCTCCTCCCGCTGGGTGCCGCCTCGCGTGCCTGCGCGATGTTGTCCCGGGTTCCCGCGCCTCCCTCCCGCTTTGCCGTGCGTAGGCTTGCCCGCATCGCATCGTCTCCTCCGTCTCGAGCCGTGTGGCTTCGTCCCCGCCCCTGTCCCGGATCCGGGGTGTTGTGCTCTCTCGGCGTGTCGCCGCCGCGTGCCCGGCGCGACCCCGGTTCCCGTGCCTGGCCCTGTCCGCTCTGTGCCGGCGGTGTCCGCGTGTGAGCGTGCTCGCGTGCGTTGGGTTTGGTGTCGCCCGCCTCCCGGGGTCCCTGCCGCCGCCTCCGGCCGCCGCCGTTGGCCGGTGACTTGTCGCCGATGGGTCGTCGTCGCCGCGGACCCCCGACCCCCTGCCGGCACCGCCGGTCCGCGGCGGCGTGGGTCGCTGTGCGCTCGGCCCCCGCGTCCGTGCGAGCGAGTGAATTCGGGCCGGCTTCTGAGGGAGGTTGGAGAAAAGACCCCCCCGTGGCCGTGTGGCGTGCGTTGCGTCGTGTGCGTCGCCCCTGGCTTTCCGGCCGCTCGGGTGTGCGCCACACGCGACCCGGCCGGCTGGCCGGCTGGACCGTGGACGTCGGCGCGCCGCCTCCGGGCGGAGAAAGGGGCCTGGCGCTCCTCCCCGTCCGTGTGTGCGCGCCGCCGCTCCCGTGCCCGCCGGGCCGGCAGGCGGGGTGTCGGTGATGCGGTGCCCCCGCGCTTGGGTGCGGTGCGGTGCCCTTCCCCCCCCCGGCCACGGGTTCCCCTGCCCTCTCCGTGCTCTTTCCTCTCTCCGCTCGTCACCGCGCGGTGGCCTGCTTGCGCCCGTGTGCCCGCGCCGCCGTCCTGGATGGTGGCGGTTGGGTCGCGTCGGCGGCCGGCTTGGCCCGCCGGTGTCGGTCTTCCCGGTCGCTGCCGGCGTTCGCTGGTCGGTGGCCTCGGTCTCCCGGATCGAGGTCCGCGCCTCCCTCCCTTCCCGCGCCCGCTCCGCGCCCACCCTCGTGTGTGCTCTCGGGCCGGTCGGGCCTGCCCGGTCGTTCTGGTGTGCGGCGACCCGGGATCCGCCTCGCCGCCCTCGCTCCCCCTCGTTGGCTCCCCGTCTCCTCCTCGCTGCCGCCCGCTGGCCGGGAGGGAGGGGTGGGGCTCTGCCCTCTCCTCGCTCACGCTCGTTGACGTCTGGTCCCCGTGGAGAGACAGACGGATGCCCTGGTTTGCCCGTGTTCCCTCTCCGCTCCTTCCGCCCCCCCCCGGCGGGAAGGAGGCGGTGGGGGGGTTGTGGGGTCGGGTTCGCGGTGCGTGGGCGCCGTGCGGTCGTGCCGCCCGGGCGCGCCGTTCTGTCGGCCCGCGACGACGGGCCTCGGGGGAGGTGAGGAGGCGAGCCCCCCCCCGTTGTGGCTCGCCGGTGTCACTCTCTCCCCTCGCTCGCCCGGCTTTGCCGCGTGCCGGCGGTCGGCCGCCTGGTGGCGCGTTCCCGCGCGCTCGCCCGCTCCCGCGTCCTCCGTGCCCCCGCTTCCCCCCCCGCCCGCCCCCCTCTCCGGAGGGAGGAGGAGGAGCCGGGGGGAGGTTCCCGGGCTCTCCGGGCTCGCCCGCGCTCCCCTACCTGGTTGATCCTGCCAGTAGCATATGCTTGTCTCAAAGATTAAGCCATGCATGTCTAAGTACGCACGGCCGGTACAGTGAAACTGCGAATGGCTCATTAAATCAGTTATGGTTCCTTTGGTCGCTCGCTCCTCTCCTACTTGGATAACTGTGGTAATTCTAGAGCTAATACATGCCGACGGGCGCTGACCCCCCTCCCGGGGGGGGGATGCGTGCATTTATCAGATCAAAACCAACCCGGTGAGCTCCCTCCCGGCTCCGGCCGGGGGGCGGGCGCCGGCGGCTTTGGTGACTCTAGATAACCTCGGGCCGATCGCACGCCCCCCGTGGCGGCGACGACCCATTCGAACGTCTGCCCTATCAACTTTCGATGGTAGTCGCCGTGCCTACCATGGTGACCACGGGTGACGGGGAATCAGGGTTCGATTCCGGAGAGGGAGCCTGAGAAACGGCTACCACATCCAAGGAAGGCAGCAGGCGCGCAAATTACCCACTCCCGACCCGGGGAGGTAGTGACGAAAAATAACAATACAGGACTCTTTCGAGGCCCTGTAATTGGAATGAGTCCACTTTAAATCCTTTCGCGAGGATCCATTGGAGGGCAAGTCTGGTGCCAGCAGCCGCGGTAATTCCAGCTCCAATAGCGTATATTAAAGTTGCTGCAGTTAAAAAGCTCGTAGTTGGATCTTGGGAGCGGGCGGGCGGTCCGCCGCGAGGCGAGTCACCGCCCGTCCCCGCCCCTTGCCTCTCGGCGCCCCCTCGATGCTCTTAGCTGAGTGTCCCGCGGGGCCCGAAGCGTTTACTTTGAAAAAATTAGAGTGTTCAAAGCAGGCCCGAGCCGCCTGGATACCGCAGCTAGGAATAATGGAATAGGACCGCGGTTCTATTTTGTTGGTTTTCGGAACTGAGGCCATGATTAAGAGGGACGGCCGGGGGCATTCGTATTGCGCCGCTAGAGGTGAAATTCTTGGACCGGCGCAAGACGGACC